ACATCTGAGTTTCAAATCTTCCCAGGAGAGAGACAAAAGCATTAACTTATGTTTCATGCATTTTTCAGTATTTCTTGATCTTAATTTATTTTAATCATATTTTTCCTGATGGTCAGGAGCAGTAAGAATTCAGCATCCGGAGTCCATCCAAGCTAGCTCTGCCACCTCACCATATAAATGCTTGGAGTGTGGAAAGAGCTTCAGTTATAAGACTAATCTCACTCGTCATCAAAGAATTCACACAGGGGAGAAACCATATCATTGTTTGGAGTGTGGAAGAAGTTTCATACGGGAGAAATGTCTCATTGAACATCAAAGAATTCACACAGGGGACAAACCATATAAATGCTTGGTGTGTGGAAAGAGCTACTGTCGGAAAAGGACTCTTAATCATCATCAAAGAATTCACACAGGGGAGAAACCATATCATTGCTTGGAATGTGGAAAGAGCTTTGCTGAGAAGAATGTTCTCCTTTACCATCAAAGAACTCACACAGGGGAGAAACCATACCATTGTTCTGAGTGTGGAAAGAGCTTCAGTTGTGAGAGAAGTCTCACTTCTCATCATAAATTTCACACAGGGGAAAAACCGTATCATTGTTTAACATGTGGAAGGAGCTTTAGTCAGAAGAAATATCTCATTTCTCATCAAAGAACTCACACAGGAGAGAAACCATATCATTGTTTGGAGTGTGGAAAGAGCTTCTTTGAGAAGATAACTCTCACACGACATCAGAGAACTCACACAGTGGAGAAACCATACCATTGTTTAGAATGTGGAAAGAGCTTCAGTCAGAAGAAATATCTCATTTCTCATCAAAGAACTCACACAGGAGAGAAACCATACCATTGTTTGGAATGTGAAAAGAGCTTCAGTAAGAAGACACATCTCACTTCCCATCAAACAACACACACAGGGGAAAAACCCTATTATTGTTCAGGGTGTGGGAAAAGCTTCAGCCAGAAAACGTATCTCACTTCTCACCAAAGAACTCATACAGGGGAAAAACCATATATATGTTTGGAGTGTGGAAAGCACTTTGCTTTGAAGAAATACCTCACTCAGCATCAAAGGAAGCACACGGGGGAGAAACCACATAATTGTTTTGAATGTGGAAAGAGCTTCACCCAAAAGATAAGTCTCACTCGTCATCAGAAAATTCACACGGGAGAAACCATGCCATTGTTCGGAGTGTGGGAAGAGTTACACTGATAAGAGGACTCTTATTTCTCATCGAAGGACACACAAGGGAAAAACCATATCAATGTTTGCAGTGTGGGGGAAGCTTCAGTCAGAAGAAACATCTCACTTGACATGAACATGATCACACTGGGGAGTATCTGTAAAATTCCATTTTTTAACACAAATCATACATTTTTGTTAAAGCTTGTTTGCAGCCATCTGCATTAAACCATCTCTTGTGCATATAGAAACTAAATATGATGATGGTAAATTCCTATCCATATCTAACCCTCAGTCCTAACTGATAATTCCAAAAGGAAGAGATTCCACTTCCTTTACATTCTGGGCATCATGCATAGCATGTTTTAACTCTCTGGAGAGTTAAGAAATAATCTTGGGCTGCATAACCCAAGCATGGTCATGCACACGTGACTTAATTGCCTGTTCTGGCAAAATGTTCTGGCTGCTTTTGCTTGGCATTCTGAGTCACATGATAGGGAAAAGACGTAACCTTTGTTCCGTATAGTCATTAGTGCCCATTTCCATTAAAGAAAATAGACAGCTGTTCCACACCTGTTTAGATTTGATTAACATCATAACCTTCTCCAGGCCACAGATCATAACATTCTCCATGAGCCAACACTGCGATGCAACCGCCAAAAGGGCAAATTCTATTTTGCGATGGATTAACAGAAGTATTACTTTCAAAGCAGGAGGAGGAGTAGTTCCTCTATACTCCTCACGAGTCAGACCTCACCTGGAATGCTGTGTCCTGTTCTGGGCACCAGGATTTAAGAAAGATGCAGAAAAGTTGGAAAGGGTCCAGCGGAGGGCAACAAAAATGATCCAGGGCTTGAAAAGACTCCCCTATGAGGAGAGGCTGAGGGAACTGGGCAGGTTTAGCCTTGAGAGAAGAAGACTGAGGGGGGACATGATAACCCTCTAGAAGTACCTCAAGGGCTGTCACAAAGAGGAGGGTTAAGATCTCTTCTTGCTGGTGCCAGAGTGTAGGACATGGAATAATCAGTCCAAGTTGCAGCAACCCAGACTCAGGCTGGACATCAGGAAAAGCTTCCTCACAGTTAGAGCAATACAGCAGCTGCCTAGAGAGGTGGGGGGGCTCTCCCACACTAGAGGCATTCACAAAGAAATGGCAGCCCTCTGAGTAGAATGGCGCAACTTGGTGTCCTGCAACAGCAGGGGGTTGGACTTGATGGCCTTCATGGCCCCTTCCAACTCTACTATGAATCTATGAAACACATGTAATGAGCAGCTTGCTGGAAAATGGGTAAAGGCCTCTTGGAACAGGGATCAGTAGACAGGGCCCTGGTCTTGGGATGCTCGAGCAAAACTAATGCATAAGAGAATGAGAGGAACAGAAACTTGGAACAAGTTCATTGAGATGTGGTTCCTTTTCATAGCATATATTAATAGAAGTTATCTTAATACGCAAGGCAAATTCTCAAGAGACTATAATAAAAACAGATCAAAATAACAATGGAGTGTAATTTATGCCATCCATATAAATTAGTATTGTACTAATAGAATAATGTGTCATAAACTAGACCATAAACAGCTATAAATAGGGATGTGATAAATGCAGAGGAAATTTCTAAAAACTTCTGGGAGAGCAGGATGGGATCCTTGAAGCAGTGGAGGTGGGAGGGGTGATACAGAGGTGACTGCACTGGCTGCATCGCTTCAGAGAGGTTTTTGGGTCCTATTTAAAATGCTGATTTTGTCCAGGAAAGCCTTGTTTTTAACTGTTGCATAGTATGTTGTGAGATGCCCAGGGAGCCTTTTGGGTATTAGGGCAACATACAAGTCAAATAAATAAATGCAAAAATAAATAGAAAAACTAAGACAAGGCTCCATTAAGGGAAAAAGACATTGATTCTTTGGTGAGTGGGAAAAATTACAGATGTAAGTTTCAACTTGTTATTGTTCAGAAAATCCATACCTTTGATAGGACCTTTGCCTTATCTTCTTAACGATGTAGTTGTCCCAGACTTTAAACCTCTGTGGTAAAAATGGGACAGCTAGAACAATTTAAAAAGTAGATTATTCATTTTTGTCAAAGTTTGCTGAAAACTAGTTTGTTGCATTGTGTTCTGTCTTGTCCAGTAACTTGTGTGTGGGGGTTAAATAATGAGTCAAAAGCTAATAAGGATTTCCTGCCCCTGTAAATCATGTGGCAGTACCTGCTGTCTCTTATTCCATGCGTGCCCACTTTAATTTTAAATGTATGATGCAGCCCGTATTTTTCATTTTTATTAAAAGCTTTTCTATCCCGTCCCCTACAGAATGTCTCGGGACGGCTTCCAATAAAATATGCCTCTGATTTGGGGCAGGTTCTGTATTGCAGAGGAAATGTAGTGGATTTCTTGTGTTGCGAAAGGTGACTTCACGGGGTCCAACCATACTGTGTTGCTGCAATGATGGAGGCTCAGAGGAGACGGGAGGGGCCCTCAAGGCCACCCGCTGCTCAGTGCAGCGCTGCAAGTTGAAGCATCCCTCACGGGCGGCTGCCCAGCGGCCTCTCGGATGCCTCCCACGATCTCATAGAAACAGAAACACAGCGAGTCAGAAGGGGCCTCCTGGGCCATCTAGTCTGACCCCCGGCTCCAGCCAGCTCCGCTCACGACATGCCCACCATGTGCATGTCCAGCCTATGCTTGAACACCCTCACTGATGGGGCCTCAACCACCTCCCGAGGAAGCCCATTCCATGCCCTCGGGGTCCTGACTGTCAGGACGTACTTCCGGGCATCCAAATTGAACCTGGGTTCCCTGCGCTTGGCTCCTTTGGAGCGTGTCCTGCTTTCCTCTGCAGGGGAGAACAGGTCTCTACCCACCTGTGTGACACCCCCTCACTTACCTGTATGTCGCCAACAGATCCCCTCTGAGGCTCCTCCAGGCTGAAGAGGCCTAGTTCCCTCAGTCTCGCCTCTCTGGGTCCTTGGTTCCAGGTAATGAACTGAGCAAATAGGCATGGATCAGTCTACAAAAGGAGGACGCCACTAGCAAAACGAGGGGACAGACCCTTCCAAAGACAGGAGGTGCAATGTCTGTGCTGCTTCAAAGCATTTGACCCGCCCCATCTCGATTTGAGCCTCTTCAGTTTTTCTAGCTTTTACTCGGTTTTAACTGTTGTATCGCCAACTTTTTAATGATGTTGTAACATGTTTTATTAATATATTGTTTTTAAAGATGCTGCTCTGAACCACCCGGAGTGCTTTGGCAGTTGGGCATTACAGAACTTAAATAAAACCCCACACAAACAAGCAAACAAGAAGGGAAATCATTTGGGGTGATCTAATTTCTAAACAAATCCAGTTTGTGACACTCTAAATTCAACTCCAATCAAAGCATGCCCAGTAAGGCATCCACTAATGATGGTCCTTGCAAGGCGTCCCATTGGCTGCTCGTTCGGACGGGTTCACATGTGCTTGAACCAGACCGTACCACCTGCCTTCACGCCAGGGCTCTTGGTCAGCCCTTTCTGCTGGCTTTGCAGAGTTACAAGATCTTCATGTCTCCACTGGTCCTAGAAGGATTTAGCAAGCATCTCCACTCTTGTCTGTTGAACTTCGTGCAGCTCTTTGACACGAAACTCCCCAAGAGGTCCTGAGTTTATCTCTACCTTCTGGGTGAGCAGCACGGCACGAGTTACGGTGCTGCGGTTCCCTCGATGAGGGTCTTCCAAGGCTTCCCCCCCAGGACTGTAGGAGGCTAGCTAGTGCTGGGGAAGACCCCACCTCAGCGGACAGGAAAGCCCTCCTTGGGCTGAGCTCCTTGAAAGCGCTCCAGTTGGGCACCTTGCTTTGCGGTGAGAGGACTCTCGGTGGTGGAGCAACGTCAAGGTGTCCCGTCTGCCCTGTTTCTGGCGGAGCAGGTCCACGACGTAGGGCTCCCTGCCACATGGCAGAGGCAAAGGGTGAGGGACAAGGAACTGCGCAGAAGCCCGCAGGAGACCTCAGCCTAAACAGATCCTGCACCCGACAGGAAAGCCAGAATTTTAAAAAAAAGCCTTCAGGGTGGTCTTAAACACCTGTCATGACACGGCCTGGCAGCCCTTGGTGTCTGCTTGTGAAGTCTGTGGCCACTACTGCATCGTCCCTCTCTTGGTCGCCACTCACCGAATTCCTTGCAGGACCCCCTTCACCTTTCTCTGCCTGTCACGCGTCACGTGAGCAAGAGCTTCCTCCTCCCCTGCCCGTGGGTGAGGACATGGGTCGGTGAATACATGGGAAAGGGCCCTTTCTGCAGTGGCCCCTCACCTCTAGAACCAGTCGACACCAGAGGCCATGAGGCTGCATCACGGCAGGCTTCTGCGACACTCTGGAAGGCTCCCCCCACCCCAGCTTTGGACTTCTGCTTATGATATTTGATCATCCTGGGTTATAGCTGTGATTGCTTTGTGTGTTGTGTCTTATGCTGGTGTCTGTTTTGCAGAAAGGTTGCTGCTTTTCTGATTGCATCAGAGGGTTTTTTTAAATTATGGATTATTTTATATATACAGTGGTACCTTGGCTCACGAACTTAATCCGTTCCAGGACTCTGGTCATGACCCAAATTGGTCGTGACCCAAGTTAAATTTTCCCATAAGGTTCAATGTAAAAAAGGTTAATCCGTTCTGTAACCATTTTTTTTTTTAATAAGAAAAAGCAAAGTGAAGCAATGTGACAAACAACAACAAAGATTGGGGCCATCTCCCCCCCCCCCCCCTTCCACCAGAGCACAAGCGTGGCCATCTCCCCACTCGGGGTTGGGTGGGGGGGGAGATGGCCGTGATCATGCTGGTTGGGAGGGAAAATGGCCAAGATTGCGCCCGTCTTCCCTGCTGGGACCGAACTGGGCGCCTATTTACTTCTGAATGGGCCCACCTAAGTCCCACAGAGGCAAGCCTGAGTGAAGCTCTCAAACCAGACTTCCTCCATGCTTCAGCAATAGACACATTTACATGTGTAAGCAGACCAGGGATGGGTTCTAATTCCTGGAATTTACTCAACTAAAGCGTCAACGCACTGCAATTAGAAGTACTGTACTCTCATTGTCACTGTATGTTTGGCCATCTTATTTGTTCTGTAAACAATGACCTCAGAATCTCATTGTAATGTCTGCATTCTGTCATCTATTGCTCTGTACTTGTGTACATGACCAGGAGAGTATAAAATGCTCTGTACTTGTATTGCAACCTTGCAGTTGAGTTTGCCTCTGCCTGGTGATGCAGGGAATCTTGGGGCTTCCGACAATCAAGCAGCGGAGGGTTGAACGTCTGAGCTTTCCCACGAACCCGAGTTTTTATTTCCTCCTCACAAATTGAAAACCGAGATTCTGTCAAGTTCACAAGCAGCCTTCCCCCCACTTTTGCAATGCAATGATAATTTGCCAAATCAAAGGGGCCAGCTGGTCTGACCAGCTGAATGGGCCAAAGGACATTTCCTGATAGTGTGTGTGTGTGTGTGGGGGGTGCATCCCTAGGCGGTGAAATGGGGAGACCAGCTCCCCTCTGTTTCATGAAACACAGGAGGCTGAATAGAGGGGCTTCCCACATCTGCCCCACACTCCTGTTTCCCCAGCAGCCCAGGGACGCCCATCACTCCAACGCACAAGGTGGGATTTGGGGGTCTTCCCTACACCCACAAACTAGGCTCAGGTTTGGCACTTCAGGAAAGTGTCCTTCCTTTCTAGGGAGGGAAAGTGAGGCACAAAGGGCCTTGCAGGAACGGCATTGCCTGTGGAGGACCCCACACCCCACATCACCTCCTCCTCTAGGAATCCAGCTCAGTGCCCTCAGTTCTTGGATGACCATGGAAGGGCCCTTCATGGGCTTCTCTCCAAGCAGGACGTGGAAGCATCTTGCGCGACTTCCCCCTTTGGCCTTTGGCGTCCCCGTCTCTGCTCTAGGCTTTTTCCCTTCCTGCCACACAAACCCACTCAGCCAGTGCGCGTGTTGCTTTTGGATGCCAGACCTTGTCCTCTGCTTACAGGCTGGTCCTGCCAAAGCTCCCAGGAGCTCCAACCAATCAACCCAAGCACCAACACCGAAAGAGCTTGGGGCAGAAAGCTTCGGCACCTTCCTCTCTCCCTGTGTAAGCAAGGCCTATTGAGTTCCATGGCCTTACTCCCTGGTAAATATGTAACTTTCTCCAACTTACCTCTTGTCACTGCTGGGGCAATCTTAGAGTCAAGCTGGTTCGTGGCCCAGCCTGGCTGGTCCCTTTTCCCTTCATGGCAGAAATACCCAATCAGTTACTGGGCTAAAAACCACCTGCAACTGCTGGTTCTCAGTTGACCTGAAGCAAAATATTTTGAAAAACCAGGATGAAAGACTCATCAGCTTAGAGAAATAGGTACAGAGAAAGGCACCAAAAGGATCAGGGGCTAGAACAGCTGGTTTGCTCCCCTGGTAGGGTGTTTGCTTTCACAGATAGTTTGATTTCCTTTTAATTAATTTCAGTGTCCCTTAATAACTTGTCCTTTTTCTCATTATTTTTCTTTGTTTTTTTACTTATATAAAAAAGAAAGAAAGGATAGTTCTCGATTAAGCTCTTTTCTCATTCCAAGTATTTTAATGCTTCATTCCCTTTGTGCGTTCTTCTGACTGAAGCCCTTTTCACACTCTAAGCACTTGTGTGGCGAGATCTGGCCAGGGCGACTTTTCTTTTCTTTCATAACTTTTCTTTTCTAACTTCTTTTATATCGTTTATATTTTTTATTTATTTTATATTATTAATTTTAATTTTATATTGTTATTTTTATATTGTATTTTATTGTGTTGTAAGCCGCCCCGAGGCTTCGGCAAGGGGCGGCATAGAAATGTTATAATAATAATGATGTTTCTTCTGACAGAAGCTTTCTACAGTTAGAAAACTGAGCATCAAATGAACATTTTGATTTGCTGGCCCTTTAGAGCCAGCTAGCAAATTCTCCGTTTAGGCAAAGATGTCAGCCAAGGATGTCTGGCCTCAGGGCTGCCCGTGCCATTATTTCTTTTCCGACTGTCTGATGAGATCCATAGCAAAGGTTGCAGCCGTGGAAGGGAAGCTGGTAGGCACGTAATAAGTGCCTCCAGTGCCACAACGCTGCTAGTGTGACTCCTATGAAATAAATACTGGCTTGACTCGAAGGGATGGAACTAGGAAAGAGCAGGGCTGCAAGGAATTCGTATCGATAAGCGTGGGAAAGCTGAAGCAGCTGGAGCTGCTGTTGTCGTGAAGGCCCCGGCCAACTTGGTTTAGGTAAAATTCCTACATGCTTTGTGTTGGAGGTGAATCCACATAATCGATTGCCCCTCCATCCTCTTCCTCTCTCTGAATCCCCTTCCTTTTCCCTTTAGCACCACTGAATCTTACGTGGAGAGAGCCACCCTACACATCTCTCCAAGGAGAAGCCTCTCGAACTGTCCCAGTGTTGCCCCTGCAGCACCTTCTCTTCTACGATGGGGGTATTTCCCCTTCTTTCTGCAAGAATCTGCTCAGCCACCACGTCTTTTCCTTTGGGTTCATTTACTTGATGTATCTGTTTCATTTCAACACCACTCAACAGCCGAAGTTCTCTGGGTGTTGAACTTGACAGAATCATAAAATGGTAGAGTCAGAGGTCAAGAAGGCCATCAAGACCAACCCCCTGCAGGTCACCAAGTTCCACTGTTCCACCCAGGTGGCTGTCCAGTTTCTTTCCGAATGTCTGTAGTCTGGGAGCCCAAGACCTCTCCAGGCAGCTGCTTCCACTGTTGCATTGCTTTGACAGTGAGGAAGCTTTTCCTGATGTCCAGCCTGAATCTGGGTTGTCGCAACTTGAATTGATTCTTCCATGTCCTTCAGTCTGGGATCAGCAAGATCTTGACCTTCCTCTCTGTCACATCCTTTGAGGTACTTAGAGATACCATGTTCCCCCCTCAGTCTCCTTTTCTTGAGGTTGAACATGCCCAGTTCTCTCAATCTTTCCTCAGAGGGCTCTGTCTCCAGTCCCTGAATCATCCTTCTTGCCCTCCTCTGTACCCTTTCTAGCTTTTCTGACTCTTTTTAAAACTTAGGTGCCCGCAACTGAACACAGTAGTCCGGGTGAGGCCCGACCATTGCTGAGTATAGTGGAACTGGTACTTCCCACGTTCTGGAAGTGATGCTTCTTTTAAAAGAGCCCAAAATAGCATTTGCCCTTTTTGCAGCTGCATCACATTCTTGGCTCACATTTATCTTGTGATCTACAACCACCCCAAGATCCTTCTCATTTACAGCGCTGTCAAGCCACCTGTTCCTTATCTTGTAGTGGAGCATTTGGCTGCTTGTTCCTGAGCGGAGGACTTGGCCTTTGTCCCTGTTGAATTTCATTGCGTTGCTGCCTGCCCAGCATTCTAACCTATCGAGACCACCCTGTACCTTTGTCTTCCAAGGCATCTGCTATTCCACCTGGCTGTGTGTCAGCTGCAAATGTAATTATTGCACTTCCTCATCTAAATCAGTAATAAAAGTGTTGCAGAGCCCTGCAGCACCCCACCTGTCACCTCTCCCCAGTTTGAGAACGTGCCACTGATGCGCCCTCTCTGAGTCCCATTTCGCAGCCAATTGCGCTTGCACGGTCTAGCCGGCTTTTTGCTGGTCCGTCCTGTGCTCTGCATCTCCCACGGAGTTTCACAGGATGAGCCCTTTAGGGTCTAGCATGACACGAGGGGGGGGGGAAATGTCGCCTCCGCTTTCTGCATTCTAGAAGCTGAAACTAGAGACAGGGAGCAGAGGTGGCTTTGGTTAACTCGGTGGTACAGGCGCCATGCCACAGAGCCAGGCGTGGGTTACGACACTATAGCAGTGCAGCAGAAGTAGAACATGGGGACACAGAGTGGAAAACTGAGCTTCAGGGCAAGTTCCTTGTCCAAAGCGGCAAGTTTCTAGCCCTTAAGACACAGCAGTTAGTTGAAATGCGGGGATGGGGGTAAAGGCTGCGAAGTCGCAAAGGCTGGAGAGAGAAGAGGCTGACAGGGCCTTTATAGTTTTTTATAGCACTTTAGCTCTACTCATGACTCACAAAGTCAAAATACATGCTGCAGAGTTTGCTCTTTCTTGAAATAGGCCACTCATTTTCCAGGTGCAAGTTAAATATATAGCAAGATTAATTTCAATATATTTGTTTAAAGGGAACACTTCAGACCTGGATCATGCCTTCAACACATAATCTTATGCATGTTTCCCAGCATGGCCAACAAGTAGGGCTAGCTCAGTCTTGCTGGAAGCCGTGCGCCTTGTCTCCATCTAGACTATGCAGTTAAAACATTCATCAGTCAGTGCCTGATTCTTTCTTGAAAATCAGAGAAAGATAACACATGTTGAACTTCTCTGTCTGTAACATTCATATATGGTCCTTCATATGAATTAGGATTTCAGGGCAGTGTACAATTCTACTGCACCACAAATGCAACCATAAAACCACCGGTACAATCTTTAAAACAACTACAGAAATTACAAAAACAACCTGAAGTTTTGGCACCAGACCTGCCCTTTTGGGAAAGGCATTACAACTTGGGTGCCTCTTCCAAGAAAGCTGACAGGACAAATGGCATTCCTTCAGCTATAATTTGTCATGAGAAGAGAGGCATTTGAAAATAATGAAAAATAGAAAATGCAAATTTCAGATACTGGTTTTACAACACAAAGAAGCTATACGAATACATAAAGATCAATAGGTTTGGCCAACTCCACAAAAGTATTCAATAGTGAAATATGCATTGTTTTTGCTTAACTCTTTTGTTGCCAATTTATGGTGACCCTCCTGTCCTTCATGGAATTGCTCAGCTCTTCTAATCTCAAGACTGTGGCTCCTTTTATGAAATTGAGTCATCCTTTTTGGAATTCCTCTCCCTCTCCTGCCCTCCGATTTCCCCAGCAGGACTGCCTTCTCCAGTGAGTTTGCCTTCTTATGATGTATCTGAGGTGCCCTCAGTTTTATCATTTTTGCTTCCCGGGAAAGTTCTGGCTTGATTTAACCTCAGGTCCACGTCATCTTTCTGTCAGTCCAGGGTATTCACAAAACTCTTCTCCAGCACCATTTTGAAAGCGTCCATACTCTTCCTGTTCGCTTTCTTCACTGCCCAGCATTCACAGCCACACATTGTGATGGGAATGCAAGAGTGCAGATGCGCTGCAGTGACTGGATCATCTTTCCTAGTTCCTTCATTGCTATGCTCGTCTCGGTCTTCTTCGAATTTCTGGGTTGCAGTCTCCCTTTGGTGACTGAATCAAGGCATGCAAAATCATTCACAGTGTCTATTGCTTCATTGTTGACATAATTCTTTTGTGGTCATGATTTTGGCTCTCTTAATGCTCAGCTGCAGTCCTGCTCTTGCACTTTCTTCCTTCACTTTCATCAGGAGTCATTGCAATTCATTGCTGCTCCCTCCCAGCATAACTTACTGCTATGTCTTCTGCCAATTTTCACCCCTTTCTCTGAGTCTAATCCAGCTTTCCTTATGGTATGTTCTGCATACAGATGGAAGAGATAGGGAGAGAAAATACAGACTTGTCTGATGCCTTTCTATAGGAAACCATTCTGTTTCTCCATATTCCGTCCGAACAGTAGCTTCTTGTCCACGATACAGGTGAGGCATCAGAAATGCACGTTCTTTCAGAACCATCCATTGTTATTACGATTACATTTCTACACTGGCCAAAGCTGAAGCTCTCTTGGTGATCCACACAGTCAAAGGCTTTATGTAGACTGATCGTCTCAAGCTCTCTGGTGCACTTCAATAGCCAACATATATTTGCGATATGATCTCAAGTGCCTCTTCTGTTTTGGAATCCAGCTTGAACATCAGGCATTTCTGGCTCCATACTGCAACACTTCAAACATCTCTTTGCTTGCAGAGGAAATTAGTGCAATGGTCCTATGTTTACTGCACTCTTTTGAATCACTTTTATTGGTAATTGGAATGTATACTGATTTTTTTATGGGCCAACTGTGTCCAGTTTTCTGACCAGTTCAACAAAAATGTAATATTTATGAACGAGATGTGCAAGACAGGAACACTTAACTGAAAAAAAAATCTATCTTCCCTGGTCCACTTGGAAATATCTAGCCTGTATGTTGTTCTTTCTCACTATGCACTGATATAGGAAGAAGCTCTCTAAGTTTCTTTTTTGTCAACATTTTGGCATGGCTTCTTGCCCTACATTAATTTATTCACTGCATCCTGTAAGTTGATTCTCCAACATAAGCTATAGATTAAATGTCTGACAATCTGAAATCATATTCCAAGCATTTCTATCATTTGCCCCCTTTATGAATTCTTTGATGAGAAGTGAGGTTTGTCTTCTGACTGAAGCTCTTTCCACAGTCCAAGCATTTAAAGGGTTTTTCCCCTGTGTGAATTCTTTGATGTCTAGTCAGCTCTGATCTCTGAATGAAGCTCTTTCCACACTCTAAACATTTGTATGGTCTTTCCCCTGTGTGAATTTTTGTATGCTTACTGAGGTCCCCATTCTGACTGAAGCTCTTTCCACATTCCAAACATTTGAATGGCCTTTCCCCTGTGTGAATCCTTTGATGATAAGTGAGATTAGTTGTGTGATAGAAACCTTTTCCACATTCCAAGCATTTAAATGGTTTCTCACCTGTATGAATTCTTTGATGGTACATAAAACTCTGCCTGAAGTGGAAGCTCTTTCCACATTCCAAACATTTATATGGCTTTTCTCCTGTGTGAATTCTTTCATGAGAAGTAAGATCTTTCTTTTGCCCAAAGCTCTTTCCACACTCCAAGCATGTGTGTGGCTTCTCCCCTGTGTGAACTCTTTGATGAGATGCAAGATTCATCTTCCGACTGAAGCTCTTGCCACATTCCAGGCATTTATATGGTTTCTCCCCTGTGTGAATGACTTGATGAGAAGTGAGATTTATCTTGTGACTGAAACTCCTTCCACACTCCAGGCAATTATATGGCTTCTCCCCTGTATGGAATCTTTGGTGAGAAGTGAGATTTGCCTTCTGACTGAAGCTCTTTCCACATTCCAAGCAAGTGTATGGTTTCTCTCCTGTGTGTATTCTTTGATGTTTAGTGAGGTCGATACGCTGACTGAAGCTCTTCCTACATTCCAGGCACTTATAGCATTTCTCTCCAGTGTGCATTTTTTCACGAGAGATTAGAGTTTTCATAGTAATATCATCTACCTGACACCTATTGTTTTTCTTTCTTTTATCTACTTTTTGCTGAATTTCAATATCATGGCATTCACTGCCTTGAGAAGCAAAGGGTGCATTCCCCTTCTGACTGGCTTCAATTTTCCTTCTTTGCTGTTCACTCTTTTGACATCTGCCTCTCTTCGGTGACATCTCACATGGTTCTCTCTCATTGTCTGCTTCACACCTGTTTCCATCTGGAAAAAGAGACAAGAAATTGGTAAAACTCCGAGTCAGAAATAGATCTTCAACAGAGCTTTGGATATCCTCGGGTAGTGATTGCAATAAAGGAGGTTCCTGAATATACTTAGCTGGGTATTTGAGAACCTCTGTTGACTGGCATTAACTACCAGCTAATGTGCTGCCGGGCTGGTTGCGTTCCCGTTGCTCCCTCCCAGCTCCTGTCAGCCTTGCAGTTCGAAAGCATGCAAATGCAGGTAGATAAAAAGGTACCACTTTGGTGGGCAGGTAACAATGCTCCATGCATCTTGGTGTTCAGTCATGCCGGCCACATGACCACAGAGACCGTCTGCGGACAAACGCTGGCTCCCTCGGCTAGGAAGCGGAGATGAGCACCACCCCCTAGAGTCAGACATGACTGGACTCTAATGTCAAGGGGAAACCTTTACCTTTACCTTAATGTGCTGCAAGCCACTGGACTGGGTCCATGGGGACCTGGGGCCAGCTCCCCGTTCTGACAGTCACTGCCAGGAGAGCCATACTGGTGGCTCTGGTTGCCCACCCCCAAGAGAGGAGCAACCCTTTCCCTCTTCTCCAAGGTTGCTTTTCCAACCCTGGAGAAGCAGCCCAGCTGGCTCCTTCTGCGCTGGCTGAGGGGGGTGGTGGGAGGGGACTCTGAGCAGCTGCCCAGGGCCAAGGCTGGAGTCCTGTCCCCAGTCTGGGAGTCCGGAGCGTCCCGTGGAAGAAAGAAACAGCTGTGCCCGTGCTCTGAAAGGTAACAGCGCTGCTGGCCACCTCTCTGGGGAGCTGAGGCAAGGCTGTGCAGCATGAGCTGGCAGGGCTGGTCCCACCTTTAGGCAGCGTGAAGCGAGCACTTCAGGCGGCAGACGCGGGGAGGCAGCAGTGAGAGGTTGCAGGAGAGAACTCTGCATGCCCCAGGTCAGCCTTCCGCCTTCGGGTGTAGCAGAGGGTGCTCAGGAGCGGTTCGGTTCGGCTGCCAGGCCAGTTGGCTTTTGTATGGGGATTGGAAGGCGATGCCCGTTCCCTCCTTAGCTTCAGGCAGCAAAACATCTTTCTTACTTACTTATTATTTAGAGAACTTCTATGCTGCCCCATTTGCCGAAGGCTTGGGGCAGCTCACAATCATAAATAAATAATATAAAACAATATAATTTAACAATATAATTTAAGTCGCCCTGGCCAAAGAATAAAATAAAGGAAGGAGATGTTTCTTCAGGTATCCTGGTCCCAAGCTGTTTAGGTCTTTATAGGTCAAACCAGCACCTTGAACTGACTTCAACTGAAAGCCGGTGGAGCTGGTAGAGGACCGGCGTCATGTGAGAACAACGGCAGGTCCCCGTCAGCAGCCTGGCCACTCTATTTTGTACCAGCTGAAGTACCCTGAGCGTTTTCAAGGGCAGCCCCACGTAGAGCGTGTTGCAGTAATTACGATCCGATAGGGTTAATGTATCTTATTTAGGCTCAGCTTGGGAGCACAATACCCTAAAAAGTAGCCTCAAATGCCTAATGCAGATTAAAAATGCATCATCTTCATCATCACATCTGTAAACAAATGTTAACATCAACCAGGGAAAGAGGCATATTTACCTCTTACATTTTCCTCTTTTTTATCTCTTACTTTTTCCTGTTTGCTCCATTCCTTTTTCTTTTTGTGTCTTATCTACCGTATTTTTCCGTGTATAGGACAAGACCTTTTCTTTAAAATATTTACCTAAAAATGGAGGGGCGTCTTATACACAGGGGGCCGAGAGGAGAACTGCGGGTGCGCTCGGGGTGGGGGGGGGAGACTGGCGCGATCACAGGTGCGCCAGGGGGAGAGGTGGGCACAGGGGCGTGATCGGGGAAGGTGGGCACGACGGGGGGGGGAGGTGGGTGCAGTGCGATTGGGGGAGCAGGCGCGATCAGGAGAGACTGGTGCGGGTGCGTGCATGCGGGGAGGTGGCAGCAACTTGCTTGCTCAGAGATCATTAAAACTGGGGCGCATCCTATACATGGGGGTGTCTTATAGTCTGAAAAATACGGTATTTAGTCTCTACGCTTCACAGCTGCAACTGTCTTGTATAGCGATTATATCTTTAAGCCACTTCTAGCTGAGGAACGGGATCAAAAGTACCTTAAATAAAGAAAAAAACGATTACCAGGATAGGACACGATCCCACAGTCCTCTTCCATCATTTGCCTGCGTGGGGCGCCCTGGTCAAGAGCCGGCAGGGCCGATCTTTCAGTGAAACACACCGCAAGCGCCTGAGAGATCCGTGGGCCCTGGGCCAAAAAGAGGAAGTGTCTGGCTCAAGGATGACATAGAGACTGCACACCTGGCTAGGGAGAGGCGGTTGGCCCGGGAGGAACCATTTGTGCAGGGTGCTTTCCTAGTGGAGGACCAAGCTGCTGGTCACGGTGACTTTCTGCCGCCCCAACCAACAGCCAGAGGCTGGGCCTCTCTGACCACCAGCGGCTGGTGAAGAACAGCAAGAAACCCCCGGCCCTTCTGTCCTGCTTGCGCATTTCCCAGGAGGCATCTGGTCGGCCACAGGCTGGGGCAGATGGGCCTCTGCTCTGATGCAATAGGGCCTCCTTAGCACTTTGGTTTTGTAGAATCAAGCAGGTCATTTTTTCAGACCCTGAGTGGCAGGTGGGGACCAGGGCTGCTCCCTCCCCGCCTTCCAGCGATCCAGCCTCCTACCCGCTCAGGTTCCGCTCCTTCTGGAAGAAGAGATGTCTGAGGACTTATTGCTGGCATCCTTCCTGTACCTGAGGGACACAGAAATGGTGGGAAGCTGGCAGAATGTTGTAAAAGATGCAAGTCAAAGTACACTGGGGCGTTTGGAGATGTCCACTCTTCCTTCGCATTTTAGATGGGTGAAGGAAAAAAACTGGTTTTACCTGAGGCAGGCAAAAGTTATCGGGTTTGGACAACACGATAATCCACACTGGGTACACTGGGTTCTCATTGAACCAAGGACTGTTGTTGAAACATGGGTTATTGTATCGTCTGAACCCCGTTGAGCGAATAGGGTGAATGACTCGCAGGGCACCGTTCAGCCACAAATTATGGGTTCTCTTCTTGGCTTAACACAGCTGGATTCAGATGACGAGAACCCACAGTTCAACAAGGGCCCACAGTCAGCTCTTGAGCACGGGGCACTGTGTCGTCGGAACCCAGTCGTTGTTTCCTTTTGGCACAGTGACTCCTGCACGAAGGGTGAAGGGAAAAGGGGGAAATTGTGTATTTTATTTTGACTGGGGCCAGAGGAATGATGCACACTTTGAATGTTCAGATGGCGTCTGCCAACCGATAAACAACCCTTTTATTGCTGTTACCAGCGCCGTGCAGCGTGTCTGTAAGGTCTCCTTTTTTCTTATACCAGAGTGTGGATTCAGATATCATTGGTTAACTTGTGGACATTCTCCCGGCAACGTCTGATCCATTATTAAAGTCTGGTGGTGGTAAGGAATTCAACCTCACCATGAGACGGTTGGTTGGAGGGGTCTGGCTGGACAGAATCATAGACTAGTAGAGTTGGAAGGACCAGAAGGCCATCAGGTCCTACCTCCTGCTATTGCAGGACACAAAGTTACACCATCCCGTTTAGATGCCTCTCCAAACACTTTCTGAAGGTCTCCAGTGAGGGAGAGCCCACACCTTCCCCAGGTAATTGGCCCCATTGTTGATTCCTTCCGGTGTCTAGTCTGCATCTGCTTTCTTTTAACTTGAGTCTGTTATTCCATGCCCTGCACTCTGGAATGAAGAAGAGATCTTGGCCTTCCTCTTTGGGACAGCCTTTGAGGTACCTGTAGAGTGCTATCATCCCTCCCCTCAGTCTTCTCTTCTTGAGGCTGAACATGCCCAGTTCGGTAAACAAGATGTACAGAAAGAGAGTATCTAAAGAGATGTACAGCACGGGGAAGGCCAGCAAAGCTGAAAAGAAACACGCCGGCGTTAAGCAGCCCAAAATCCATGAGCAGCATCCAGAACTGGGAGAAGAGCTGGAAAGAGGCCGAAAGGCAGGCCTGAGGCCGAAACCATTGGCTGCAAGAGGTGAAGAAGGTCTGTGGGTGATGCCTGACGGGGCCTTCAGGAAGCCAGTGCGACCGTTGGGCGCAGTGAACCTGAGGCCGCAACCAGACCAAACCGAGGCCTGCAGAAACCTGAAGAAGGCCTTGCAGCTGCCAGGCGTGGGGGACTCCTGGCCGAAGGGAGCCCTTAGCGCAGGGGTCCTCAAACTTTTTGAATAGGGGGCCAGTTGAAAGGCTGCGGTGACCATCGTGGGCTGGTGAGGTGGGGGTGCCTGGGGGCACGGGCTGGTGAGGTGCCGTCGGGTGTGTGTGAGGCAGCATCGGGCACGCGCGGTGGTGGCTTGCTCACTCGCTCGCTCAGAGATCTCCCAGGAAGTCCAAAAACACCTCCGAGCAAGTGAGCCACCACCTCCCTGCCCCCGCTGCGAGGCAGTGGCGAGTGCGCGTGTACAGGGGGCAGGTGGTGGCTTGCTCACTCAGAGACCATCTTCCCACCCGCGCAGCAAGCACACACGCGGGCAGCAAATGGTGGCGCGGTCCGGCTGGAAGGCCATGGTGGGCCGGATCCGTCGCGCGGGCCATAGTTTGAGGACCCACGCCTTAGGGCAAGTGGAGATTTAACTGGGCTGGAGCTTGGTGGGGAAACTGACTTGCAGACAAGCAGGGAACTCAAACATGGCCAGCTTCTTAAGGCAACAAAAACCCCTTTGTTGTTTTGGAACTAAAGGAAAGAGTGGGGTATGGTAACCAGTAGTGATGTTAAATTTTCTCTATATCTAAGTAAGCATATTCTGCTAAAGTTTTTTTAAACATAAACTTAATATGAACTTTGGTTCTGTTTTGCCCTTTCTCAATCCTCACCTACTACAGGGTTAAAGCTAAGCAGGAGTTCATGTTTTATGGTGATCATAAATTGATATGAAATAATGAACAGGTGGAGTGAGCCTCCACATAATTATAAATACTAGTCCTCATTAAGGCGATGGTCTAGGGATGTGATAATCTGAGACCTCTTCTTATGCTAGATTGGGTGCCACAGGCAGTGGGACACCCTAAAGAGGAAAAGATCCCCACAGGAGGGTTATACATATTCTATATTTCTGTTGGATGAAAACACACCTCTCCCCATTTGGTCTCTTGGACATAAATAAAAAAATGTACTAAGTTTCCAAGTGTTTAAAAGAGAACACAACTTTGAATGGTGTGGCAGGCTTGGAGACAAGCCCCTTCCTCACAAAGGACTCTGGAAAACAGCCCAGAGATCCCTGGCATCATACGGGGTGGGAGAACAGACTGAAAGTCGCCCACCTCTCATGCATCCTCACCCTCCACGGAGACACGTCTGCCGCCCTCCTGCTTGACACCCCTCAGCAGGGGACTCTGCCTGCGGTCCGAGCGAGGCTTCTCTGCCCTGCGAGAATCAGGGGCCACTTCTGCCAGCGGACTCATTGCCTGAAAGAGCAATGAGGATTCAGAACAGGGAATGGGGAAAGGGAAGCATATATGGGCCACAGATGCGACAACCAAAAACGGGGTGAACTGGGGTTTGGGATTCACGGGACGTGCTGCCTTGCAGGATCTGCAGAGGAGGTCGGGGGTCTCTCCCACATGTCCACGTGCTTCTTTCTGGGAGTGGCCAGGACAAAAGGCCCTCACCTGCTGCTCCTCCTGCTCCTTGTCCTCAGCCTGGCTCAGGAGGAAGCCCTCCGCCAGGGCCACTGCCTGGGAACTGGTCTCGGCCCTGTACTCTCGCACCCAGCTCGCCACCTCCGCTGGCAGGACGGCCAGGAACTGCTCCAGGACCACCAACTCGAGGATCTGCTCCTTGCTGTGCCTCTCCGGCTGCAGCCACTGGTGGCAGAGCTCCCAGAGCTGACGCCAAGCCTCTCGGGGCCCTCCTGACCCTCCGTAGCAGAACCGCCTGAAGCACTGGCGGTGGACCTCTGTGTCGAGCGCTTCCTCCCTCTCTTCCTTCACCTTCCCACTGGGATCTGATGTGATGCACGTTTCCTGGGCTGCTCCCTGGAGATCCATTGCATACTCTTCTTTAGGTAGCTGACAAGCGGCTGCAACGGCCTCGTCAGGCAGCAGGGAAGTCTTAAGACCTCTGCACAGACCCATTCCTGGAAGCTGTGAGTTTCCCACCACACAGGAAGAGGACTCCATTGCCTTGAGGAAGGCTCGCAACTGGGCCTCCCAGAGCAGCTGCTGCTCCTCAGGCCCAATGGACCCTGCCTGCTCAGCTGTTCTGGTATCTCTTCTTGGCTCACTGGATCCCAGTCCGGGGTTGGGTGTTGCTGGGTCTTTTCTCTCCTTCTTGATTCTGGGCTTCATCTCCTCTAGCACTGCCTGGAACTGGGGACGAGGGGCCGCGAACCCTTCTTCCTTCTCTTCCGCCATCTCTTCTGCAGGTGGATGATTCTAATTCAGTCCAGCACCACCATTTTCCCCAGCAGCAAATACGTTAGAAGCATCTGGCCACTAAATTGAGGCCTGTTGTTATGCTGGTTTTACAGAGCAGGTCCAGAAAGAAAGGCGGCCTTTCCAAAGTGATGTTTGTGTGAAATGTGTAGAGTCCCCAAGATGTTCTCCTACTTGATGGAAGAAAGCAAAATAGGCACAAATGACAGTGAGTGAAGCTTGTGTGGCAAGTTTGGCTTTGGAGGGCAGAAAACCTCACCCTTTTTTTTTCCATTCTGCAACCTCTCACTTTTCTCTCTGCAAGAATCCCGCTATTTTACGTGCAAAAATGGGCTAGGAAAGTGAATGAGGGTCTGGAGCAAATCCCTTAGAAGGGCAGTCTGGGACTGTTTCTAAAACCGGGGAGAACCGGGAGGCAAGACAGAGGAGCACAACATGATGAATGGTGTGGAGACCGTGGAGAGGGAGACACCTTTCTCCCCCTGGCACCACGCTGGGGCCCAGAGGAGCCATCCCATGAAGCGGTCTGGCAGGGAACCGGTCCAAGAAGGGCGGCTTCGCACGGTGAACTGTGGAATTCGCCCCCGGAGGATAGACCGGCGGCCACTAGCTTGGGCGGCCTTAAAGGGGGTTGCATAATGCGAGCAGAAAGAAGGCTGTCCGTGGCTACTAGTCCTCATGGCCATAGGCTGCCTCCAAGACCCGAGGCAGGATGCCCATGCACAGCCGCTGCTGGGGAACATGGGTACTGGGCTGCTGTTCACCATGCCCAGCTTGTGGGCTGCCCCTCCCTCGTCCTCGTCCTCGTTTCCCGCCCTCCCTTCACTCACCGCGCCGCCTCGTTGCCCCGGGAAATGCCGGAGGGATTTCCCCTCTGCGGGGGGCGGGGCCAGGCGGCTCGCCCTCTCTCCCCTCTCGCTCCCGCTCGCTCTATGGCGATGACGCCTCTTCCTTTCTCCCCCTCTAGGAACGAGACCGCGACTGTTCCCTTAACCCTTAGAGGGCCGAGTCTCAGCGGGCAGCCTCGCTGGTTTAACCCCTCTTCAAATGGGTTCTGCTGGCGCATTGTACCTCGTCCCTTCGGAGTCCTTGGTTTGTTTCTGCTCTACGTATTGCCTGAGAGCCAGTGTGGGGTAGTGGCTGCGGCCCAAATGCTCCGGGCTGTCGTACCGGCTTGGCCTTGAGGCTCTGCGAGCTCCTTCTCATCCTATCCTCCTCACAGGGTGGTTGTTCTGAGGACAAAACAGAAATCGTCGGCTACGGAGCAGTATAAAATGTAAGCAATAAATATATGCATTAATTAAATAGAGAGGAGGCTGTAAGCTGTCCTGGGCTCCTTGCAAGAGGAGGAAAGGTGGAATATAAATGTAATGTAATAATAATATCGATAATAAATTGGTGCTGGTGGCCTCGAGCAACACTTGCTGGAAATAAATGCTCAGCAGAAATGCTTCAATAAGTAACAGAACAATCCTGATGCACAAAATCAATAGATGGAACTTTCATTGGTTAAATCATGCAGTCCTTGACACACAGCCAGGCCTGAGAAAAACCCTTTTCCAGAAGTCACCATGTGTGCATCCTTGAAATGTAGCTGGCACTGACCAGGCACCAGTCCAGAGAAAGCTGGATGGCACTTGAGGCATTTCACACCAGCCCACCCCATCCTCCTCCTCTTCTCTTCAACAGCACCGCTTCCTCCCCTCTCCTTCGGAACATGTTCTTTGGTGTCCAAGCAGGACAGACCACGCCATTGCAACCTTTTGCTTCTGTAACCTTTTGGAAAGTGTTAACCGTGTAACGTGTGACCCTGCGATGGTCAATGCATAAAAGGGCCAACGGAGGACTGCTCGGGGCGCCATCCGGAACGATGCGCTGGTAGCTGGTTATTCCCGAGCATAAAAGGAAGCCTCCCCCCGTTGTGTGCTTTGGGCGTCGGCACACCAGGACAGGGACCCCGTGGGTCTTCTGGAAGCGCGGCTTTGGCAGCCCGCGAGAAGGAACCACGCAGGCGGCCCCTGGGGCTGGGAACCGGACCGTGGGGAGGGGAGTGGGGCGCTGCAGTGGCGCGCAAGGGGGGCACCGGGGGACCAGAAAGCCGCACCTCTCCGGCCCCCTGTCCTCCTCTTGTGGGGCGGCCTCAGGCAGAAGAGCCCGGCTGGCAACCAGCAACCAGCCCACCGGCCAGCAGCAGCGGCGCCCCCAAGCACCGGCGGACAGCGAGGCTCCGATCCGGCCGCTGCTCCCGCCATCAGGCGAGCCTCGCTCCAGCAGGCGCCGGACTGGCCGGGGCGGAGCAGCTCGCGGAAGAGGCGCGGGGAGGGGCCGCGCTGGCTCCCGCGGCCCACCCGCCATCCCACCCGCGCTCCCGCCGAGGCGAGGCGGTCCGGCCCGGAGGAGGGCTGCGGCCGCTCTCCCCGCGGGGCTCGCCCGGCCGCGGGCTGCCCTCGGGCGGGGGCCGAGGGACGCCCCGCCCCGCCCCGCAGGGCGGGCTCCGGGGCTGGGGAGGTGCCTGGCCAGGGAGGCGCCCCCGCGCGGCCACGGGCGGAGCCGGCCTGCCCCCGCCCCGCCCCCGCCCCGAGCGCGCTGTCCGTGGTGCTGAACGCCGCCCCGCGCAGCCCGCCCACTCGCTCGCTCGCTCGCTCTCACGCGCACGCGCAGAAGCGGCAGCCTCCCGCCGATGCAGCGGGGCAGGATGCGAGCCGGGGCTGCGACGGGCTCCTCGCTCCCTTGTCCTAAGCAGCCAGCGCCCATTCCAGAGCCCGCTGGGCTCGCCATCGCCCGCCACAACATGCCCTCTCCCGCCGCGGCGCCCAGCCCCGTGCGCGCTGTCCGTGGTGCTGAACGCCGCCCTGCCCTGTTTACCACCGTGTAGCTCTCTCGCTCGCTCGCTCGCTCGCTCTTCCTCTCACACACGGCAGCTTACGCAATTCTCCCCCACCTCTCAATCTTATCCCCACCGCAGGCACCCTGCGAGGTACGCTCTCCCTCTTCTTTCGCTTTCTCATGGGGTCTATTCTCTCCCACATCCTGCATAAAGCAGAAAGGCTTGCTGGGCTGCCCCACTGACGAGCCTAACACACCCTCCTCCAGGTTGCTGACCAGTTGCGGTGACCGCCTCTGAGGGGAGCAGGGGAGCCATAGCAGCTCCCCACGGACCCGTCCCTGGCAGCGGTGGGTCCCCCCCTCCCAGAGGAGGCGGAGTCCACTGTCCTGCTGCAGCCCCTGGGACCCAGTGGGTTCCACCTGCACAACTGGGCTGGGCTCTTGCTGATTGAAATTTATTTATTTATTTTTGGATTTATATCCTGCCTTTTTCCTACAAAGGGCTCAAGGCAGCTTACAACTCCTCCTCCATCTTATCCCCACAACAACAACCCTGTGAGGCAGGTTGGGCTGAGAGTCTGTGACTGGCCCAAAGTCACCCAGTTGGCTCCATGGCTGAGTGGGGACTAGAACCCGATCGCCTGAGTCCCAGTCCCACGCTCTTAACCACTGCACCACACTGGCGCCAATGTAAGGGGCTCACACTGACATACAAAGCCCTAAATTGTTAGGATCTAAATATCTGAAGGGACACAGAAACAGAGTGAGTCAGAAGGAGTCTCCCTGGCCATCTAGTCTGATCCCCGGTTTCAGCCAGCTCCACTCAGGACAAGCCCACCATGTGCATGTCCAGCCTATCAATGATGGTGCTTCAACCACCTCCCATAGAAGCCTATCCGTACCCTGGTGTCCTAAGCACCAGGAAGTGTTTCCTGGCATTCAAATTGAACCTTGGTTCCCTGGCACCAACATTATACATCTTTCAGAACCAGGCAAAATCCTTTCTGTTCGCCCAGTATTAAATGGTACTAAAACAGGATGAAAAATAACAATCTGATTTTTCATTTTTCTATTTTTTTTTCATTTTCTAAAATAATTCATTATTTATTACAGTTTCATTATTGACTCAGTTTCACCACATTAATTAACAACTGGCATTTGTTTATGTAGGTCATCTCATAAGTGAATCCTCTAATGCGAAATGCGTTGTTTCCAAATTAATCAAACTCCCTTTCTAAAAACATTTGTGGTACATCCCTGAATGCAAATCAGAGCGATACATTTCTCATTACATTCTGAACAGTTTTAGACATTTCATGCTGAGTTATGTATTTGCTCAAAATGCATGACCTCATGAATGAAGCTCTTTCCACACACCATACCTGCCTGGTTTCTCCTCTAAGCGAATTCTTCAGTAGGAACTGAGAGAAAGTATGTCTCTGAAGCTCTTTCTGTACACAAAACAATGTTACTGTTTCTCTCCTGTGTGTGTCATGCGCTGAGGATCCTTCTTTGAGCAGTCAAAAGTCACAGGACGTTTTCCTTTAGGACTCCCAAGTACTCTCAATTGCCCAAAACACGTCTCTGTGAAGGTAGAGTGGCTGTTGAACCCAGTCTCCCATATACACCTACCTAATCCCTTAGATCACCTGCACCAGGGGTCCTCAAACTTTTTAAGCAGAGGGCCAGTATACTGCCCCTCAGACTTTGGGGAGGGGGGCAGACTATAGTTTGAAAAAATATGAACAAATTCCTATGCACACTGCACATAAAAATAATTAAAATTAATTAAAATTTTAAAAAATAAACAAATGTTTGCTGCGCTGGCTCGGGCGGCAGCAGAGGCCCAAGATGACGCCATGCCGCCTGACAAAAGGGAGAGCGCAACATGAGGGGGAGCCAAGATGGCGCGCTCGCCTCGGTCGAGGCCTTCCCTGCTCCTGGCTACCGCCCTGCTTCCGGGCCGGAGGAAGGTTCCCTCGCAGGTGCTTCCCCGGCTCCGGGAGGGGGAGTGGGAGTGGGAGGCTGGAGAGGCGAGCGTGGGGGGAAGAACCATGGCAGCCGCTTGACGGCAGTGGCGGCTTGCCCTGAGAAGGCCGCGGCAGAGGCGTGGGGGCCATGGCCCTGCTCTCACTCTGCCTCGGCCCGTCCGCCTCTGGGTTCGGCGAGGCAGTGACGGCTTGGCCCGCAGCCCAGGGTCACGGCTCACAGTTAAAAATAGATTTAGAAAGTTGTATTTCTCTCACCTTCTATCCTTTTTTAGTGTCTTCATCTCTCTCGCTCTTTCGACCTCCTCTCTTCTGTATTCCTTCTCCATATTCAGAGCCAATGCGTGTGTGCAATAAGGGGAAAAGGAGCTGTTACAATTTGGCGCATGCACTGGCTCTCTGCAAGGCTCCCAAACTGAGAGTTTCAGAGCACACCTGCACAGGCTCAGGGATCATTTTCTCCAAGTCCAAAAGCTCTGAGGTAGGCCGGGTAAATGACCTTGGTGGGCCGTAGTTTGAGGACCCATGATCTACGAGGATACTTCTCCGTGAGCTACCCCTGAAGGAAGTCAAGAGGGTGGCTATGAGGGCAAGGTTCTTCTTGGCTGTGATGCCCCACTTGTGGAATCAGCCCCCCAGGAAATTTCCCCGTCGCCGACACTATATAGATTCCTGTGGCAGGTTTAAACTTGTTTATTTTCCTGCCATTTTAATTGTTGACTTCTAGTTTTATACTGGCTTTTGCAATGATTAGTACATGCGGAATAGTTATTTATTGTACTGTATTGTTGTTGTTATTGTATAGGCCTGCAAAAATTTTATTGTGTAGAGATGTTTTTATTGCAGGCCAATCTGATTTAAACTATTCTAATGGCGCAGTGGTTTAAACCACTGTGCTGCTGGGCTGGTAGATTGAAAGGTGGCCGGTTCGAATCTGCACAACGTGGTGAGTCCCCATTGCTCTGTCCCAGCTCCTGCCAACCTTGCAGTTCGAAAGCATGCAAATGCAAGTAGATAAAAAGGTACCCCTTCGGTGGGCAGGGAACAGCGTTCCATGCACCTCGGTGTTTAGTCATGCCGGCCACACGACCACGGAGACCGTCTGCGGACAAACGCTGGCTCCCTCGGCTAGGAAACGGAGATGAGCACCGCCCCCTAGAGTCAGGCATGACTGAACTTAATGTTGAGGGGAAACCTTTACCTTTACTTTGCCTTCAATGGTTAGATTTTGCATACTTTATTTTGCAAACCATTTTGAAAGGATTATGCTAATCAAATGATGTACACATGCTTTAAATGAATAAATAATCTAGTGTTTACCTCGAGGAA